CTCCTCTTTTATCATGGCCATTCTCTTTTAATCATGTAATTGAATAAAAATTAATACTTTTTAGCCAAAAATATTTCTACGTGAATATCTGCTTCTGGTGCCTAAAACCCCCCACCTCTCTTATCCTTTATTTCTTGACCCTTTTTATTCCTTTTTATTTTTCTGTTGTTATCTCTGTCTCTCTTTGTTAACACCTTTTTCTGTATATTTTTACTGCACTGTTTTCTTTTATTAAAAAACAATCTTAAAAATCGATTTGATCCTTCTATATATTATTCCATAGGAGCACGCTGCAAAAGATAATGGAAATAGACTGCTATAGTGATCTATTGCTGGCTGATTGCTGCCAGCAGCACAACACTATTTGGTGGGATTGGTTTTATATAATCTCTGAAAAAATATATATATATATTCTCTCCCACTTTTGGTCCCCAGGTGGCAACAATGATGTTGGAAGATTTAGATAATATTTGCCTTGTACAGGCATCAAATGCTCACATAAGTCAAAAGGGAAAAAGCAATGTAATTTGAATGTCATCAATGCCATTTAAATTTTTAGTGATGTGAAAAAGTTGATGCTGTGCTAATCTGTGCCCTCGTCAACCCATCTTACTCTTATCTTACTCGTATCTTAATGCTACACTAACAACTTACGCAAACTTTTTTTCCCCCTGAATGCATCATATTATAACAATATGGTATCAAAAGGGGAATTTTGTGCTCCTATAATAAAATTCATATGTTCACTTTGCGCTTTACTATTCTACTATGTTACATAAAAGTCGCACTAATGTGATATGTTCATCAGCAAACTTTGTTGGTTATATTTTTAAATAAATACATTGGGGTGTGTTGGCAAAATGCATAAAAAAAATAACTATTTTACTATTTATCTAAATGTTTACTATTTGTTCCCAATAAAAACCAAGGTAATAAAAAGTATATTTATCCAAATATGCTACCAACTTAAATCCCTATCTACCCTGACAAAAATGATGTTTAATACGTTTAGAGTACAAACACTAAAAGGTATAATGTGCAGAACCTACACATCAGCAAAAAAAAAAATCCTCTGGCACTCAAGGGGATTTAAGAAGAGAAAAGCTTAGAGATTCAAGTGTTAAAAGGAACGTTCATGTGTAAAGAATGTGACTACTGTAAATATATTAAAATGTGGCGAAATAGCAGTTCTTCCTGGAAGAATTGACCTTTTCTGTAATGCAGTTTAAAAAACCTGTAGACAATTAAGAAAGAAGAGGTATGAATACCAGAAAAGTATTATATCTGATAATTTAAGAGCAGTTATAGGACAGCATATCAATTTACAACATTTTGGTACCCCAGAAAAATGTTTTTTTTTCAGGTGTTAGAAAGGATGGGGACCATGAAAGGGAACTGTTGCTGTGAGAGAGCATATGGAGTTTTATTTCAAAGGGGAATACATATCTGGGTTTTAAAGAAAAAACTCTATTTCCTTTTTTGTAATAAAATTGATTTACTGCTGAGGTATCTGAACTGCTGTGCACAGCACTAATATGGAACCATTATTATGATATACAGTACAATGTTCCTGGGGAAGCCTAGCAAAAGGAACGACATGTTTGTATGTTTGTGGGTAAGCTTCACATACCAGACATGCAGTCTCTCTTGTGATGGCGTGGATCTGGGCATTTAATCCTCAAAGATTTTTTTTAAATAACACCGGAGGTGGTTCTGTAATTTGAATTCAGAATACAAAAATCATCCTTACTTTATTATAGCCTGATATATACAAATATGACTACCAGGAGTAAATACTATATGACAATCTGTAGACTAAATCTGTCGACTTTTAACTTGTTTATAAAGAGCTTGTTATACCATAAGAACAAGGCATAGTTATGTGTGTTTATATGTGGTCTTAATGCATAAAACAAATGTTGTATTGTTTTTAATTTGAGAACTTGGCTATTATATTGTAAAAGTGTGATTAACATGAAAAATATCCAGGAATGCTGTGGCTTTCTAAATTGGTTTTATTTTGGGTATATTGATACATGTTGGACCATAGTGGTTCAAAATCCTTGATCAGGGTCCAAGAGGATCTGGGCATTTAACACTCAAAGATTTAAAAAATAACACCTGAGATGGTCCTGAAATTTGAATTCAGATTAAAAAAGCATTGTTACATTATTATAGCCTGATATATGCAAAGAATATTACCAGGAGTATATAATTGAAAATCTGTAGACTTTTAACTTGTTTATTAAGAGCCTGTTATACTATAAGTGTTATACTATAAGTGCAAGGGATAAATATGTGTTTATATGTAGTCTTAATGTATAAAATAAATCCCATATTGTTTTTAATTTGAGAACTTAGCAGCCTTGATATTTTTATGTCCTCATTACATTCATTAACATGAGAAAAATCCGGGAATGCTGTGCCTTTCTGAATTGGTTGTGTTTTGGGTATATTGATACATAATGGTCCAATATCCTTGATCAGGGTCTAGTATAGACATTAAGAGCGGACCCCATGCCAAAAATACAAACATTTGCGTTCTCCCTATATTCCGTAATACACTCTAATCCAAGCATGAAGCAGGGCAAGCCAGGAAAGGGAGGGGGCAGTAATCATCAGCCCAGATGCACTCAACATGGGGAGTGTACCTTGCCAAGGGGGACCCCTCCTAGCAAAGCACCTTCTCCCCATGTTAAGGTAGACAAAGGCCACTTATCAGAATCTGGACCCTCCATTTAAGATGGACTGTGAAGGTCAGAAGGTGAACCGTATCCAGACACTTGCAGGCAGACTGGTGACCCAGTGGTGATGCAGAGTTTTCCTTCCTGTGCTTTTCCAGTGCAAAGTTGCAGCAGAAACCTGTGCACAGTTTAGAGAAAGAAAGTGCAGTACCGTACCCAGAGAGAGGCTGCACAGGCACAAAAGTACCCCAAGGCTGCAGGGGAGCCAGAACAATGGGAACAAATTTAAAGAATCAGCTGTCCTAACTGCCTAATGCTGCAATACGAGAGTTGCAGCAATGCTGCATATTGACCCTTTAGGGACCAGAGCAAAATGCACTGGACTCCCTGCTTGGGCAAAAGCCTCTGGCTTAGCTTACCCAACAAGAAGCCTCAGCTGGATGGTTGCAGCGACCAGTTAAAGGGACATGTCCCATCTGATCTTTGCCTTTCCAGTGGGCTTACCCTCTTAAGGGGCTTTCCAGGGACAGGCCTCCACCAGCAGATGGACCACAGCCCTGGACCTGTATAGCACCTTGAAGCTCTCCACATGTTGCACTAAGTGCCAAGATGACAGCCCAATGCAACATCCAGTTCCCTGAGCATATTGTAGGATGACCCTATATACCCCATGAAAGTTGTTGACTTTTTCCACATATTTAAACAGAAAAATATAGCAACTTCATTCAACATTGCCTACAGATTAAGGTGATATACTTTAATAAAAACACAAAGAAAACAAGCCTTTTCAATCCTTTATGTTACAAAAATATAAATAGATGTAACAGTGTACTGTGCAATAAGTAACCTTGGCATCAGAAGCTGTTATTGCCCCCTTCAGTAGAAATAACAGCCCGCTGGACACCAACATTTTTAAAATCATTGATCACTCCTCCATGCAAAATGCCTTCAGTTGCAAGATGATTGTGGTTTCAATTTTAAATCCCTCCACAACAGTCAATGGCAATAAAATTGGGGCTTTGATTGAGCCTGTCCATAACCCTTAATTTCTTCTTTTTGAGCCATTGTTTGTGGATTTGTTAGCATGCTTCAGATCAGCTGTTGAAAGACCCATTTTTGCTTGAACTCCAACTTTCAGACTAATGGCCTTACATTTTACTTTGAAAAGTAAAGAGTTGTCTTAATGACCACAAGCTACCCAGCCTCTAAAGCAGCAAAGCAAAGCTGCTTTAAAGTTGGTAGTCAGAGATGGGGGGGGCCCGCCGCATGTCGATCCGATGGTAACCAGCGGCCGGACACCAATGGGCCCCCCCATCTCTGCCCCAGGCTCTTGGCTCCATCTAGTGATGGAAACGCCATGAAAATGGCATTCATCCAGCGTATGGCTGGGTGGAAGCTTTGTAAATCGTCCCCCTAGTTCAGGGGTAGGCAACCCCAGCACTCCAAAAACCTTTTGTGAAACTACAAGTCCCATGAGGCATTGCAATACTAACAGCCACAGGTTTGGCTTGCAGAGGCATGATAGGATTTGTAGTTTCACCACTGCTGGAGTGCCGAAATTGCCTACTTGTGCCTTGGTGTGTCTGTACACCTGCTGTCTTCCGCAGCACAACTGTTCTGGCATGTGCTTCACTGGCTGGCCAGACTGACTGCCCATTTGTTGGGAAAACACCCCATCTAATAATCAATCCCACAGCTGCTCAGAGACCTGTGCCTTTCCTAATCTGCCTCTTTGCACAGTCAAACACATTTTAAAACTTTTATTCTTATTTATAGCATATAAGATAATATGTAAATAAAAACAGTAATAGGACTTTGATTATTTGTCAAGAATCTCATTAACCAAGTGAACTGAAAAGGTCTTATAGACAGCCATACCATTCATTTCAATGTCACATTTTATTAGAAGGATAAACATGGGTAATAAGCATTCAAGTGATGGATATTAGCAACAAATATACAAGGGGTAGTGTTTAAACAGCCAAAACCTACTGTTTGAGTAAGTATGTGCTATTTAGTAAAGAGCTGAAATGCTTACTTTAAAAAATCGTTCTACACACAATTGCTAAAGCTCAAATGCTGCATATCTAATCATGGAAAGGTATTTGGCAATTTAGCACATTTAAAAAAAAAAGAAGGAAAGTCACAGAATTCCGAGTAAAGTATGAAAGATATTCTGGCAAAAAGTAATGAAGCACAGTGCATTTTATGTGTACATTGCTGTATGAAGTTTTTTTCCCTCTGGGGATGGTTGCCACACCTCAAACCGAAAATAAGAAGGGACACAGATTAAACCCACCGAACTTGGCCAAAATCACAAAGCATATCCTTTTTTTTTTTTTGTTTGCTCTAGGATACTTTTCACAATGAAAGGACTCACACAATTTTAGTCATCTAAGTCAAGGCTGGATGAGCGAAGATTTATTTTGCTAGGAATGAACTTCAGCTGCTCTTCTTCAGACACTCAAGGCAATCTCTAAATCTAGAAGTGGAATCCTTACAGCATCTGGTGGTACATATTGTTACCATAAGCATTTTGTCTCTCAGAGCAAATAAGAAGCACAATTACTGAGGTATGGAACTGCTGCAAAGTTATAACAACCAAGGGGGCGTTTGATTAAGTTGCTGACTAAAATTTTCTTAAAATCAAGAATGCTGCAGTTAATAGAGATTGTGTGTGCATGCCAGCTGTTACAGCTGTAGGCTTTGTAGGAAATCAAACAAACTCAAAGTTTTATGAGAATCTGGGGCTGGGGCCAAAACACTATGTTGTAGCATATCTCGTTATAAAACTGATAGATTTTGGTATGTTAGACATTATTTGTGTGCTCGGTGAAAGTATATATGTGCTTTTCGAAAACAAAGTTTATTGGTAAGCATCTCTGAACACAGAGTAGCTTTAAAGGGCCATGCTGGAGGTAAGAGATTTTGCAGAATGCTGAAGAGCAGCATCATTTACTATTACTAAAAGTGCATATGTACAAAACAGACAGTGATAAGATCACTGAAAAATGAATAGAATTGTTTTAGAGTCTTTGTAGATATTACTATTAAAGAGATCAGTTTTATGTAAAGAATTCTATTCTATATTATGTGTGTTAATGTGGAAAAAGGTAGACATGTGCACTGCCAAAAAATTCGTTCAGTTTCGTTTCGTTTTAAATTCGGATTTGTGTTATTTCGTTTTTCAGGATTCGGGTGTGAAAGTCAATTCGGATTCGGAATTCGGATTGGGACGAAATTCGGTAGCGTTCGTTTTCTGTTCTTATTCGTTTCTTATTCGTTTCTTATTCGTTTCGTTCGTTTGCAGCAAAAGTGACATTTGAGGGGGAAAAAATATTTTTCTCCTCTAATGTCACTTTGCTCCAACGAACGAAACGAATAAGAAACGAATAAGAACAGAAAACGAAACGAACGTTCGTACGAACGCTACCGAATTTCGGAAATGGAAATTCGGATTCGTTTGCATTCGTTATGTCTGTAATTCGGAATTCGGATACATCCGAATGTCCGAATTTCCGAAAATTCGTCCGAATTTCGATTCGGAATGAAACGAATCGCACATGTCTAGAAAAAGGTTTCCGTATTTATTTTGCTAAATACAGTATTGCTAAAAACAGGGCTTATTGCATAGGTTTAGAGTTCTGACTTTAAAAGCTGCAAGTCTGTGAAATTACTGAATCTAAATAATGAAAATGACAGGGAACTAAAATGAATAGGCACATAGCTATTTGTTTTCTATTATCTATTATAATTGTATGCTCACTCTAAAAAGGAAATACCAAAATGTATATACTATTTGTTTTATTATTGCAGAACTCCAAGAATGGTTACAATGGGCACTCTCGTTCGGTTTTCAATTTTGGCTTTCATGCTCGCAACAGGGGTGGTTTGCCAATATAGTGAATATGATTATGACACTGATTATGACCCTGAGCCACAACCTGAGTACCAGCCACCATTTCATTTCCCAAGCAGCGCAGACTATCATGTTCCAAGTGTTCCTTACACAACAGACTGTGCTAGGGAATGTTACTGCCCTCCATCATCTATAATCACCATGTACTGTGACAACAGGAAACTCAAGGCCATCCCCCAAGTCCCTTCCCGGATTCAGCAGCTTTACCTTCAGAACAATGAAATTGAAACAGTGAATATGAAATCCTTCATCAATGCCACCAATCTTAGAGAAATTAACTTAAGCTACAATAGACTCAAATCACAAAAGATTGATCATGGTGTATTTGCAAAAAGTCCTCATCTTCTTCAAATCTACCTGAACAACAATGAATTAGAAGAGATCCCATCACCCTTTTCTGCATCTATTGAAAGAATCTTTCTTGGGAGCAACAAAATTAACAGAATAAAGGAGCAAGATCTTCAGGGCCTGGTAAACGTGACTATGCTTGACCTTTGCAACAATCGCATTGAGAGCATCAAGGGGAAAACACTAAGCAAGCTGACAAAGTTAATGCAGCTTAATATATGTAACAACAAACTCAATTCCATGCCTGCAAACCTTTCACCTTCTGTAATGTACCTGTCGCTAGAGAATAATTCCATTTCCAAAATCCCAGATGATTATTTTACAAAGCTTTCAAATATAATTGCAATTCGATTGTCACAGAACAAGCTTGAGGAGGTTGCAATGAACATATTTAATCTTCCACAACTCATGGAGCTGAACCTGGGTCACAACAAATTAAAACATATTTTTTACATCCCTCGATCACTTGAGCACCTCTATTTGCATGACAATGAATTTGAAAGTAAGTAACTCCTCGTTATGTTTAAAAAATACAAAAAAGCTTCTGCATCTTCTCTATGTTAAAAAATAAAGCTACATTTAAATAATTCTACATTTTTAAGCACCAAGATGGCAAATAATAGAAGGGCAGCAGAGCTGTATAGCCCACAAGCAAGGGAGATCAGGTTCAGAAAACTCCATGGCATGATCAAAAGTGTATCTATACTCAAAATTGTAGGTTTTACGTACACATTTTCTGATCATCACACAATTCTGATGATCGTTGCAAAACTAAATTTGCAATCATTGTGTTAGCCTGAAAGTATGTTTGGTTGTCTGGAATTTTTTATGGACCTGTGAAGTGTACAGACACACACTCTTGTGATATATGCATGTTTTCACACTGATCAGTTTACAAAAAAACTGGTCACATCTTGCAGACATGTTCTACCACCAATAGATGTAGTGAGATTTATTGTTTAGCAACTTGTCTTAACATTGCCATGAGCAAATAAATAAATGTTGAGGCTTACTTACTAAAGAAGTTAAGAATGTTCACAATTCATATTTTTATGATTATTATTATTATTATTATGATTTATATAGCACCAACAGTTTGCAGTGCAGTGGTTTACAAAATAAAGGGGGACAGTACAGTTACAATAAAATTCAAAACAAGTGGGTTAGGAGGGCCCTGCTCATGGCAGCTTACCATATAAAAGAGAAAGACAAGTGATACAAAAAGTAGTACCTGTTTCGGGATGAGCTGTTTGAGAAAATAACATTTCAGTTGTTAGGTACAGGCAGGAAAGGCTTCCTTGAAGAGATTCATTTTTAGGGATTGCCCAAAGGCAGATAGAGTAGGAGCTACCATAAAGGGGTGGGGAGTTCCAGAGGATGGAAAAGGCTCCACAGAAGTCCTGGAGGTGAGCATGGGAGGAGTTAATGAGGGAGCTAGAGAGCATGAGATCTTGGAAGGAGCATGAGGGACTGTTTTGGTAATATTATGAGACAAGGTTGGTGATATAGCTGGGGGCAGAGTTGTGGATGGGCTTGCAGGCACTGGGCAGTTGGTAAGTAGAAAGAGTCTAGCAGCAGCATTCATGGCAGACTGAAATGACTATAGCCTGTATAGAGGTAGGCCAATGAGGAGGGAGGTGCAATTGTGGAGGTGAGAGATAGCCAGTGAATGAATTAGTAGCTTAGTGATTTAATTGGTTAAGAAGGTGTGTGTTTTGTAACTGTTATGGAGGTGAAAGTAGCAAAATTTGGACAGTGATTAGATGTGGGGTTGAAAGGAGAGGTCTGCCTAGCACCCTGGTATGAGTGAAGATGATAGTTATGCTATTGATCTTGACAGAAAAATTGGGGGTGAAAATATGAGCTCAGTTATTAAAATATTGAGTTTAAGAAAGTGGTGTGAGTGGTGTGCTCAAGGAGACTGAAAAGGGGATCTGAAGAGTTGAGAGATAGATTTGAGTGTCATCAGCATAGATATAGTACTGGAAGCCATTGAGAGGTGATCAACTTCCCAAGGGAGGAGGTAGAAGATAGAGAATAGAAGAGGTCCAAAGACAGAGCCCTGGGATCCCCTATGGAAAGAGGAAGAGGAAAGGAGGAGGTAGAGTTGCAGATACCACTGAAGGAGTGCTTAGATAGGTAAGAGGAGAACCAGGGAAGAGCTGAATCTTGGAGACCAAAGGAGTGGCGCTTTTGAAACAGAATGAGTTGTCAATTGTAGTTGAAGTAGAAAGGCCTCTCAGTAGAAGTACTGAGAAGGTGACCATTGTATGTTTTAGAAGGGAGGGAAATATGCAAGTAAAGAGGGAGAAATTGAAGTTCTGAGTAAGAGTGTCAGGAACCGGATCTGAACCCAGGACCTCTGCTGTAGCTGGCAGTGGTTCTACCTGCTGAGCCACCTTAGAACCTTGGATCTCCTGTGTAATCCTCAGTTAAACCTAGTTTCTGCTGAACTCTGAACTCCTTGCTCCTCCCTTGAACTTCTTATTTAAGCCATGCCTCTGCACTTCCTGTTTGCCAGATTATTGTGCTCCTGTCATTATCTTGCTCCCTCTGTGCTACAGTCTGCTCATACTGCTACCCGTGTACCGACCTCTGGCTGCTGATTCACGGACTACTCTCACTGTCTTCTGCTACATACCTGATACCTTTGGCTTCTGACCTCGGCTTGTTTGCTGACTACGCTTCTGCCTGCTGCTTCAGCTACTGGACTCTGAGCCTGATTCCAGATCGTGACAAAGAGAGTGTAAAACAGAGTAAGAGGGTGAGCTGAGTAGTTATGAAGATCCAGGGGGCAGGTGGTGAGAGAGGTGTCAGAGAAAAGTTAGCAACCTCCTCTGTAATGATGGGCTCAAAAGAGGAAAGTATTTAATGTGTTGGTAGACATGGTATGTTAATTGAGAAAGATAACTGGACAGTAGAGATCTTATCACAAATTGCATCAGTCTTGTTTTTTTTAATTATTGGCAATGATCTGGGCAGTAACATAATGAGTATGTGGAAGCAGTGTGGCTCAAATAAAAGAGTTAAAGATAGAAAATACTTGACACGGAATGGATGTGAAGGTGTTAAGAGTGATGAAATGGGTCTGTTTGGCAGCTTGGAGGGAAGAATCTAATCTTAGAAGGGCATCCTTATACAGGGTGAAGTCTTGTAGAGACCTAGTTTTACGCCACAATTACTGAAGGGCACAACTATGTCTTTTCAGACTTCTGGTATTGTCTGTTTGCCAGGGTTGTAGTGGTTGGGGACAAATTATGTGTGTATTGAAGAGAGCATGTGTGTCCAGGAAGGATGAGAGCAAGCTGTGGTAGATATAATAATAGCCAGGTCAGGGCAGGACAGGGGTGAGATTTTGTTGTAGAGGTAAGCAATAGCTGAATAGGGAAGAGAAGGCTTGAAGTCATGAAGGTTTCTATGAAGAACTGTTTGTTGGTTGAAGGAATAGGGGGTTCAGGACAAGTCAGGCATGAAACTGATAAGGCTGTGATCAGAGATTGGAAAAGGGGTGTTAGAGAGGTTGCAGGGTTTACAAAGGTTGGAAGAATACAAGGTCAAGGGTGTTGACATTAGTATGAGTAAGAGGTTGTGTTCATTGTGTTAGATCAATAGAAGCGGTCAGGTTGAGAAATAGCTGGGATGTCAGCATTACCAAAAATGTTAAAGTCATCAAGATGGTGAATATTTCAGAGGAAGTAGGGTAGTCCGAGAAATTGTCAAGGAAGAGTGATACCTGTCCAGAAGGCCAATAAATCACAGAAATCCTCAGAGAATTCAGAGACAAAAGACAAATACAGTGAGCTTCAAAAGAGGAGGAGGGATAAAGAGGGGGGTAAATGAATAACTTGAAAAGTGCTTTATAAGTACAAAAGGAGTCCAACTCCACCTCCCTTTCATCCTCTGGGCCTGGGTGAGTTCAGTAAAGGCTACCAATGGAGAAAGCAGTAAGAGAGGCATAGTAAGAGCCAGGCTTCAGTATCTGCAAGTAGGTCAAAGAATTTGTAGATTTAAAAAAAATCATAGACAGAGGGCAGCTTGTTACAGACCATCAGGCTTTCCAGAAGGCACTTAAAAAGGTGTACTGTTTCTTGGAAACAGGAATAGAAATGAAAGTGTGTGGATTGAGGCTGCTGCCAGAGAAAGTGGGTGTGAATGTTAGTGGAGGGCCAGAATTGGGAAGAATATCATCAGAAGTTAGGAGAAGCAGGAGGGTAAGAGAAGTAAGATGGGAGTGAGTTTTGTATGAATGCACATGCCCCAGTGTCTTAGAGGTTATGTGAGCATGTTGGGTCAAAATGAGCAGAATGTGATATGTGCAGTAATAGAGAGAAGGCAGAAGAGAGGGTGATACACATAAGCTGTGGGGTGGAGAAAAGGGGTAAAGTAATGAGAGGTTAGGTAAGGAGACACTATTGTTAGAAGGAAAGGTAGAGAGAGCATATTACTGGGTGGATAGACTAGTAATCAGACTGGGAAGACAAGAGGTTGATGGGAAAAGACAGGTTCACCTGTAAGCTGTCAGGAGTACCCGTTGTAGATAATTTCTTGTTTCTGTCTTAGTGAAAGTGCTTTGTCTAAATGCCCTTGTATTTACAGTGTGTTAAAATATACATTTTGGTTAAAATAGACATGGCATGAGTGTCAATGCTCTCTGACAACAGTCTCTTGCCCCAAAAGCTGATCTAAATTTATAGGAATATGATGTGGGGGAGTGTCAAGTTGAAAGAGCCACAAGGATAAAATGTTGGTTTAGACAAAGCAGGAAAGTAAGTCTATCCTAATAATATAGATATGAGTTAAACAATTGTAAGTTAATTCAGTGTACCATGTTGAAGAGGGCTGGGGAAAATTCATATTATTATTATTATACAGGATTTATATAGCGCCAATAGTTTGTACAGCACTTTATCACTTTATATATATACATATATATATATATATACTGTATACACACACATATTATTACCACTCTACTATGTAGGTAAATAATTTGTCTCTTTCTTACAGATATAAACATAACATTAATGTGTCCAGTAATGGATAGAATGCACCGACTGACCTACCTCCGTGTGGATCAAAATAAACTAAGACGTCCCATAAGCACTTTAGCATTTCTTTGTTTTCCCCATCTACACAGTATTTACTATGGTGAGCAGAAGCGTATTGCTGGGGAAACAAATGTGCCACTCATTCCTCAGTACCCGTTCCCTGAAGAGAATAGGGATGATGATGATGATGATGACGATGATGATTTTCCTCAATATCACAGAGAGGAGCATGAGCCAATAGCAGAGAACCATGCTGGAGATGAAGAGGAAGATGATTACTTTCATGATAATTATTCATATTAAATAACGACTAACTGGTAGCTAGTCTCATTCCAGGACAAATTTCATTTCATTGCTGTTTTATTAAATGCTTCTAAGTATCTGTACCAAAAACTGGGACATACAGACTGATTTTTACAAGTATGTTATCATTAAGAAGCCATTTGCTTCAGTTTTGAAGGATTTCACAATCCTTTTCCTCTTCTGCTTTTTGTTAAATGCAATCAATGTATGAACTATGTAAAATGTAATTATCAGCCTGGTAAAGCCTAAGTACTTAAAATACTAACACTTTTGGCATGCCAATGTTAATAAATTGCTTACTTATTCATTAATCATGTAGCAGATTTTTTAGAGCCTCAGAAGCTTGAGGATCAGCTTCTACATTAGGTCACCAATACTGGGCCGATGAAAGCACGAGGTGCTTGGAGAGACTGGGTGGCTAAGCAGTGCTTATCAAATATATTTTTTTAATATAATGATTATCTCTATGAGTTTGTGGGTCTATGAAGAATATATAACTATTCTCAATGTACATAACTTAGCTAAGTCAAAGAAGATAGGTGTGGTTTTTAGCCAACACCAGTGCTAAAGAGGATAGCCAGGTATCTATCACCCACTATTCTCTACAGGTAATCTGCCCATCTATCACCTGCCTCAAAGTTCACCACCAAAAATACAATTTTAAGTGCCTGAATATATAACTAAATTGGATGATACATCTCTGACTAATCCCCTACCCTTTCAATGCTCAAATCAAGACTCTCAAACCTCAAAGGGTATCCACACTTTTGCTACTGGGGCCATTTTTTAAAATTTTCACACATGTTTAAATCATTTTTGGATATAAAACTGCTTAAAACCCACAAACTATATATTTTCTGAAAGTAGAAGCTCTGTAGTTGCTAGTTGCAATTATTTATTTTGCACAATATTTGTGCAAATGTTTATCAAATCAATACTTTTAGGAAAAAATAAATGAAAGGAATTTTAGTGATCACAAACACAATATAATACCCATTTGTTTGTAAAATATAAAAGATGAGGTTGTATCAGGTAAATAGATGAAACCGTGTTGAACCTTTGGGGGTGATTTACTAACCTAAACACATGCACGCACCAGGTGCGTGTGATTTTCACACAGCAAAACTTATTTATCAACCAAAAAGTCTCTAAAAGCATATTTCCTCTAATGCCATATATGGAAAAATCATGCACATGATGCATATATAATGCTGCTTCACAGTTTAGACAAAAATGGTTAGCTCATGCATTTACATTCCTGCATTCATCAACGCAAGCAACACAACATAGAGCTAATTTACACAACATCACCTTCCAATTCATGCTTGGCTTTGCACAACACACCTGCTGGGTGTGTACACACTACAAAGGTGTTTAGATTCCACCCATAGATCATGCTGGGAGGGAACACACTACAGAGGTGTATACATGTTCGTGGTGTGTTTATAAGGTTAGTAAATCAACCCATTTGTGTGTGCTGTGAAATGGCGAAAAACTATGATATTAAAAATTACCCATAGGCAATGCTTTTGCCTTTACTGCTCATCAATTTAACAGTGAGTGAAAACACAGTTGGTATACAGAATACCCCCAGAAATGTAACTTCCTGATTCTTTGATTGGTTGACTGATTTTCCCATTGTTCTGCACTAACAAACAAGTAACATTAGGCATTTATTTCAATAGGAATTTCATTTTCAATGAGATAGTCCCTAAAGGGATGCAGACACTGTACTTTTCCTCATTACAAAACAGAAAGCTTAGCAGCTGATTATAACAAGCTCAGACCCTCCCATTCAGGAATCATACTAGAGATTATATCCTGAAACAAACAACTATTTCTTCAGAGCAGAAAAAGGTACGGATCTACAACAAAGTTTGGTAAAATCCTTGAAATGTATATTGATTACCCAGAGAGGCTTGATTTTTTTTCTCAACAAAAGTGGAGTTACTCTTTAAAAGTTTCTATCACTGACTTAGCATTCCAAAAACCTTGGGGAACCTTTTGGTTTATATGTTTTCTCTCTCTTAAAGTTATTATGGTTAGTGAATGCTAATAATGAGGCATAAAGTAACATTATATTAAAGATACATTAATGTGAGGTGGGAGTGTCCTGGCTGGACCATTGGACCCCATCCTTTGCCAGAGACCAAGACTGAATGTTACCAGATAGCAAGATTATTTAAGCACGTGTGGGAACAATTAAAAATAAATTGTTATTGTTATAACATATTTAATGAGTTACATCCCAAGAATTGAATCTTAATTATATATATATACACATACAGTATATA